TCACTGGGACATGGCTGAGCTCATTGGGACATGGCTGAGCCCATTGGGACATGGCTGATCCCATTGGGACCATGGCTGAGCCCTGCAGCGGCTGCAGGGAGGTTCCTGGGGCCACAGAGATCCCTCACCCCCGATCCCTCACCCCTCACCCCTCACCCCTGTCCCTGTTTCTCGTCCTTTGTCCCCGTCCCTCGTCCTCTGTCCCCGTCCCCGCTCCGCCCGCCCCTGGGCTGCGGTGCCAGCGCAGCGCGCGTTTCTCAGGCACGGGGGGTAAATGTGCAGCAGCTGCCGCCGAGGAGCACAGGATTCCTCAGCACGGGCCGAATAATTGAAGATAAAYAAAGAAGTAAGGTGAGAGTGTGGGAAAAAGGCGAAGGAGAGCCGGGGTGAGGGACCCAGAGGGTGACAGACTCCTCCGGCCACCAAAGCTTCTCTGGACAGCCGGGTTGTGCGGGGCCGGGTCCCTCCTGCGCTGCTGGGAAGATCCTCCCCGAGCACAGAGCTCAGGCCCTGCTGCTCCCCGGCTGCACCGGATGGGCGCTGCGACACGGCTCGGGTTTAAAACATCACTGCCCAAACACATTTCCTGCAGCAGGGGCGACAGCAGTGTCCCTCTGGGGGACAGGGGGGCCCTGACAGGACCTGGCACAGACGGGACCTGGCACAGCCAGGACCTGGCACAGACAGGACCTGGCACCCCGGGGCCCGTGCAGGACCCTGCTCAGACCCAGCTCACCCACAGAATTCAAGATTTGTCCCCAGCAGGGTGTCCCCAAGGCACGTGCAGCCCTTGCCACATGCCTGGGCCCCTGCACTCCCCGCCCGCACCCCAACGGCTCCAGGAGATGCTCCCAAAGCCGGAGCCTCTGGTTTTGATTGTTCCATCTGGAAAGGGTTTGGAATAAATCATGTTTACTGCGCGAGAGCAGAGCCAGGGTCACCGCATATTTGTAGGGTTCTGCCTACGCCTGTAGGTTTCATGTCACGTTTTAGTGGGATCGTGTAATGCCCTAATGCTTCTGCACGGTCATCGCGGCCCCTCCGAGGAGCGGGATCGGCACAGGCAGCACAACCCCCGGCCCCACTGGGAACGGCTGGGGAGGCACCGGAACCGGCAAAGGATGGGAAGTTCTTCTCAAAWACGAACTGACAAAGGAGTGAACATCGCCACGAGTGTTTGTGAGGGGCTGACACACAGGGAAAGGCCAAACGAAGAGCAAAGCTCACAAGGGTGATGGAGAGCCCAACTGTCACCTGCCCGAGGCTCCTCTGTGTCCCCGCGGGGAGCACCCAGGACCCCCATCAGCTGCTGCTCTGGTACAATTTGTGCCTTTGGTGTGAGCTCTGTGCTCAGTCCCYGCTCACGGCACCGCCATGGAGCGCTGGAGTGTCCCACATGGGGACAGCGGGGTCACCTTCGCTGCCACCATCACCCCAAAGCGAGCCCTGCTCAGGGAACCCGAGCGGTGCCAGCAGGACCCTGTGGGGTCGAGGATGTGAGAGCAGACAGGAGGAGGCAGCCCCCAGCCCCATCCTCTGCAGCTTCCAACAAACCCACCCGACAGGAGGAGGGGGAGGTGGGAGCCGTGACCGGGGGTGGCACGGGCAGGGGGCACAGCCACCCCGATGGGACAGCACTCTGCCCGAAAACAGCTCTCCCCCCAGCTGCAGCGCTGCCAGCCCAGCCTCCAATCCAGATTTTAATTCAAACATCTCCTCTGGAGTTATAAATAAACCCTGCAGCGAGCAGCGCGGCTGCCAGCCCCAGCCGAACCCCAAGCCCCGGCACGGGGCCGCGAGCAAGAGGAGCTTTACGGATCSAGCAGCAGCTTCAGACCCTCTGCACAAACCCCAAACCCATTAACTGCTCCCGATCGCTTCCCAGTAAATATTTCCAGTGAGAACAGACCCTTTCAAACAAAAACTCTCCAGCAGTCAGAAGCACAGCGGAGGGAAGCAGGAGAAAGAGCCGTTTCCTGCATTTCCAGCTCACGTCCACAGCAGCCCCGCGCTGCCGCCGCGCCGGGGGGACAGCGGGGTCCAGAGCCACGACACCCTTTTAACGCGATTTAAACCACGGTACGAGCACCGAGCGACGCTTTCCATGGTGCAGAGTCGCTTATCGAGAGAAAAAAAAGTAACTTCATTACGCTCCCGATTCCACGGGGCTTCACCCCCGGTCCCCGTGTCCCCCGTTCCCGTGTCCCCCGTTCCCGTGTCCCCAACAGCACCTGCCCAGCACGGGCGATGCGGGGTCCCCGCGCCGCGCAGGGACAGGGCACCGAGAGGGACACGGAGAGGGCTTAGCGCGACCCACGGGTGGGCTCTCGTCCCGCTCGGGGTGCCCCGGGCCAGCAGCGCCCGGCCGGGCCGGAGTGAGATGCCCGGGAGATGCGGGGGCGATGCCCGGGGGAGATGCCGGGAGCAGGGGCGATGCCCGGGGGAGATGCGGGGGCGATGCCCGGGGGAGATGCGGGGGCGATGCCCGGGGCCGGGTGCGATGCCCGGGACGGTGCCGATCGCGGTACTCACAGCGTGACGGTGCCCTCGGGCAGCAGGCGCGGCTCGGGCGGAACGGGGAGCCCCCCGCCGCTGCAGACCACCCTCCTCCGGGGCGCTCCGGGGCCGCCGCCCGCCTTGGCCCGCTCGGCCGCGCACTTGCAGCCCAGGCTGAGCGCGGGGCAGCTCCGCGCACCGGCCCCGGGGCCGCTCAGCGCCGCCGCCAGCAGCACCAGCGCCG